CTCTTTCCCCCTCAGCTCTACAGTTCTCTGCCAGTGGGCACAGCCTTCCCCACACAACTGCCCGGGGAAGCAAAGGCTTTTCAGGGGAAGTTGTTGGAAAAGGGAACAAAATGAAGCCCCGGGCGGAACCTCATTGACTCACTGCCTCCTGGTAACACTGGCTTCTTAGATGCAGCAAACAGAATTTACCACCACGTTGGGCCAAAAAAGACTCCTTCCAGGGGTGTTTCTGAGCCTGGAATGAACTTCTGTTCAAATAAAGGTGCTGTAAAATCAAGTGGCGCTCAGAGCAGCGGCAGAGCCTGGGCTGGCAGCAGCGCCAGCTCCCCCAGCCTGGGAATGGCACCTACCCAGCCCACATTCCTTACCTCTGAGGGGAAGCAGCCTCCAGAATTATGCAAATTCCCCCGTTTCAGTGGGAGGCTGCAGTGTAAGATTAGAAAAGATCTCAGCCTTCTTTCTGATCCAAGGCATGATAAAATATCTGCCTCTGCAAACTTCTGCACTAGATGGGTGGCTATAATTTGTACCTCTGGAGCTGTCAGATGCCCTCCTACCTATTTTAAAAAGGATCTGAAGAGTCAGGGTGGCCAGATCCACAAAATTAAACATGCTGGTTCAAAACGCTCCTCACAGACTTACATCACAAGTTGCTTAGGCTTCACTCTGAAGCGACAGAATTCCAGAAATCACTCATCTGAAACCATTTCTTGTTACAATTAAATTAATGCAGCATCAAAAAGAGGAAATCGAAGGGGCCTTCAAACAATTCATGAAACCTGCATGCCATGAAAAACTATGCGCGGATTTCAAAATTTTGCACCACAATAAACTCATATTTTAAATCGATTTTCCCATAAGCATTTTGAGCTTCTTTCATACTACGAAAGTGCCTAGATTTCAATACACAATATATTGACTCGGGGTTGCCTAGACAGAAAAGTGCCATCTTAAACACCCTCCACACGCATGCAAGGGGAAGTTATGATATTCACACAACTTTTTCTGTTTTCTTCCTCCAGTGCTGTGCAATCTAACCTCAGCAAGGAGCGTGGTTTTTTACCCTCCACAGCGAGTCAGGAAGGAGGTGCCCGAGCTCCCTCGGGTCAGGAAAGCAGAGTGCCTGCAGCCCACCCGGGGGTCGACTGCTACACCCCCTCCTCACCACGGAGAGGGCAGCGGGGCTGCGGGGAACGGAAGCCAGCGACCAACACGCCTTCCGAACCTGCCCCGTGGCTGACACACGCAGAAGTCCAGGCCCGCAGCTCCGCGGCCACGTGCCGGCGGCTCCACTGAGAAACGCACACGCCGCGCCCGCGGTCTCCGCCGCCCGCTCCGCGCTCTGGGCGCACCCGCAGGACGCGGAGCAGAGCGGTGTAGCCCCGTGCGTGTCCCAGGCCGAGCGTGCTCGCACTGCGCGCAGGCGGGCTCCGCCAGGCTGCGGAGAGGGCAGCAGCCCTGCCTCAAAGCCCCGCGGCCGCAAAGGA